TTAAAATGTTTCTGCACCTGGTTTTTAATAATGCGTAGATAATTTGATTTCAGGTGCTTCGGATCATGTGACGTTTTGATTCAAAGACAGATACAAAACCTTAGAACCTCTTTACAAAAAAAATATTTTTAGTGCTTAATAGTAATGAATCATCAGTTATGGGAGAAGGTTCTTTATCACTCACTAACACTCTAAACCTTGAGTCTGTGTTGGTTGTTCCATCTTTGGATTATAACCATTATTATATGTTTCTCAAGTAACCCAAAGCATTATCTTGTATTATCATTTTTTGGCCTGACTCTTGTGTGTTTAAGGACATCCAAACAAAACAGATGATTGGTTGTGGTGTTAGGCGAGGAAAATTGTACTACTAGGACTTGACATCGAAAACCTCTAACAAGTTGCATGAAGTTTTGGCAGTAGAAGGCAGTAAAGAGAAGAAAAATGAATCTGAAATTTGGCTCTGGCATCGAAGGTTGGGGCATCCATCTTTTGGGTACATTAAAATATTATTCCCTAGTTTGTTTGAACATGTTGATCTTTTTAAATTATGTTGTGATGTATGTGCACTTGCAAAAAGTTATCGCACTTCATTTCCATTGAGATTAAATAAAAGTCCTTTCCTGTTTATGGTTGTTCACTCTGATGTGTGGTGTCCATCCAAAATTCCAACCTTAGGTGGTTTACGTTGGTTTGTTACTTTTATTGATGACTGTACTCAGATGGCTTAGTTGTGATTAATGAAGTCTAAAAGTGAAGTAAACTTGTTATTTCAGAAATTTCATAAAATGATCAAAACTCAGTAAAATGGACATATTCAGGTTCTGCGAAGTGATAATGGAGGGGAGTATCAAAGTTATGAACTTCAACAATTTTTAGAAGTGCAAGGAATTGTTAACCAAACAACTTGTGCTAGTACCCCTCAACAAAACGGAGTTTCAGAGCGAAAAAATCGTCATTTAATAGAAGTTGTTCGAGTTGTTTTAATTGAAGTGCATATGCCATTGCCCTATTGGGGAGAAGCGCTCATGTTTGCAGTTCACTCAATTAATCGAACTCCTTCAAGCTCCATTAACTTCCACACACCATTTAAAATGCTTACTGATGTTGTGGTTACTCCAACAATTCCTGATTTACTTCCTCATGTTTTTGGGTGTGTTGTATTTGTCCATCTTCACAAACATCAGCAAAATAAATTAGACCCACGAGCTTTACGTTGCATTTTTCTCGGCTATGCCCTGCATCAGAAATGCTACAAGTGTTATCATCCTCCGATACAACGTATGTTTGTAATAATGGATGTTGTTTTTCATGAAGATTCAATGTATTTTTCTGCAGATTATGAACTTCAGGGGGAATGTTAGAAAGAAATTTAGAATCTTGATTATCCTAATAGCAATGATGTTGCTTTAGACTTAGAAGTTGTTGAATCACATAATACAGGTTCTCCAAGTGAAGAGATTGAAGTTCCTGCTGATACACCACACCAATCGCCTACCAAGGATGTTCCTATTCCTGAAGCTGAGTTACCCAGAAAATAACTACCAAATTGTATCAATAGAGGTATTCATAAACCCACATATGAACCCAAACTCTCTAGCAAAGTTAAATATCCTATGAGTCATTTTGTGTCTAACCAGAACCTATCTGAATTAAATCAGTCATTTGTGAATCAATTATCTGCTATATATATTCCTAACAGTGTGCAGGAAGCATTAGTTGATCCAAGATAGAAAGACACTACGAATGAGGAAATGAGTTCTTTGCAAAAGAATAAAACTTGGGATTTGGTTGATTGCCCAAAAGGAAAGAAACCAACGGGTTGTAGATCGATTTATACTGTGAAATATAAATCAGATGACACTGTTGAACGATTCAAAGTAAGATTGGTGGCAAAGGGATATACACAAGAGTATGGTATTGATTATACAGAAACTTTTGCACTGGTAGCTAAAATCAACACTGTACGAGTATTGTTGTCTCTAGCTGCAAACTTGGATTGACCACTGCAATAATTTTATGTCAAAAATGCATTTCTACATGGAGAATTATCTAAAGAAGTTTATATGGAACTTCCCTCAGGATGTATGATACCAGAAAGACATAGCAAAAGGGTGTACAGATTGAAGAAATCATTATATAGGCTTAAACAATCTCTAAGAGTATGGTTTAGAAGATTTACAAAGTCTATGAAAGCATTCGAATACCACCAATGCAACTCGAACCATACTTTATTTTTGAAGAAACAATAGGGTAAGATCACTGCCCTTATTGTATATGTAGATGACATGGTAGTAACATGAAATGATGCAGAAGAAAGAAAGGCATTATAGGAATACTTGTCAAAAGAATTTGAAATGAAAGACCTTGGATCCTTGAAATATTTTCTTGGAATTGAAGTCTCTAGATTTAAAAAAGGTATTTTCTTATCTTAGAGAAAATATGCATTAGATTTATTACAAGAAACCGGTATGTTAGCATGTCAACCAGCTAATTCTCCAGTAAAAGAAGGCTTGAAGTTATGTATTGAAACAGATCAAGTGCCAACTCACATAGGAAAATATTAGAGACTTGTAGGACGGTTGATGTACTTAGCACACACAAGACCAGATCTTGCCTATGCATTGAGTGTTGTAAGTCAATATATGCACAATACTGGTGAACAACATATGAATGTTGTCATGCGTATTTTGAGATATATAAAATCTGCTCCTAGAAAATGAACATTGTTCACCAAAACTACGAACTATCAAGATATTGTGGTATATACAGATGCTGATTGGACAGGAGCAATAGATGATAGGAGATCGACCTCAGGTTACTTCACATTTAAAAGAGGTAATCTAGTTATTTGGAGGAGTAAAAAACAAAAGTTTGTTGCTCACTCAAGTACAAAAGCTGAATATATGGGTATGGCATTTGGACTTTGTGAAGCTTTGTGGCTGAAGCTCCTTCTACAAGAGTTAGGTTATTCGACTCAGCGACCAATTCAATTGTACTGTGACAATAGAGCTGCATATGGCATTGCCCATAATTCAGTCCAACATGACCGAACAAAACATGTTGAGGTGGATAGATGTTCCATCAAGGAGAAGTTAGAAGATAAAATTTTGGAATTACCGAAGATTCGATCTGAAGATCAATTGGCCGATATTCTGATTAAGGCGGTCTCAATTAAAGTATTCTCAAAATATCTAGACAAGTTAGGCATGTATGATATCTATGCACCAGCTTGAGGAGGAGTGTTGAGATTTTCTTTCCTCAAATCTCTCTCTCCTTTCATCTTTCTTTCTTTCCTATATTAGAGATTGTACAATTATTATAATTCTTTTCTTATTTAGTTTAGAGCTAAGTAGTCTCTTTATTTTTTCTTTCATTTTTATCTCCTAGTTTCTAGCTCAATTGTATTATAAATTCTCTTTGTAGGCTGGTTGAATGATATATTTTTGAGAGGAATAAAACCTTCCTCTTTTCAAGTCATCTTCCCTCTTAAACATAAAAATGGTTTTCGTAATATCACATTCAATTAAAAAATTAAAATTGCAAATCTCTTTTAACAAGTTGATCTTTATAATTCTTTTTTTCTTTCAAAAAGAATCATTATAAAAGTAATAGATTTATGACCATACCACATTTTGAATATGTAGGATTCAAATATATGCCCTCTATGTAAATTTATTGTTATCATGATGTGCATGATCACACTAAGAAATGATGGAGAATTCATGTTCAATCTTTAAATTTAGCTTTTTGGTAAAAGTTTACAATAAAATTTCCATGCCCCTTAGTGATGCCTCGCTTTGAATGGTTAAATTTTAGTCTTATAATATTTTTTTCTAACTTGGTTATGATCATTCGGTAGCCTAAATTAATATGTCTATGTCGTCGAATGGGTGTTTCTGACTCTTGTTCTTTATTTTTTTGAACCTATATTCTTTTAAACATATATCAATACATTGTTTGGTGTCTAACTCTACCATAAATGGGTTAATGGGTATTCCCATCTTTTTGAAGAATAAATTTTATTTTTTGAGGAGTTTTGGTCCTTTGTTAACCATATTGTGTATAAAGGAGATAGATGGACTTGGATTATAGGGATTTTCAAAATTTTAATATGGTCTTACTAGTAAAACAAATATGGTAATTAGTGAACAAATCTTGCTCATGTTTTTTTTAAATATTTTACATGCTAAATATTTTAAGAATAATGATTTTTTTTTAATACTCAGTTGGACCTAAAACCAGCTAAACATGGAGAAGTTTATTGGTTGGGAGGACATTATCAAAATAAGGGCTTTGGTATTGCATTGACAATGGGTAAAACACACTCATATTTTTAGATATGTTGTCTCAATTCACCAAATGGTTAAGAATTTGATTTGAATAATATGTTAAGATATACCCCCTACAAAGATAATGCTTTAGGGTATTTAAGCATATATATATATATATCATATGCCATAAAGATAAAGAGATAGTGGATCATTTGTTTAAGTCTTGTATTTATCCTTTTGTACCTTATTCTTATTGGTTGACAAAAGGTATGTTTTCCCTTCATACTAAAGCTTGAGATTGGTTCGTGATTGTACTATGAGGGATTTGATGGTGTAGAAATCAATTGATATACCATAATAAACAAACACGTGTGATGATTGAAATGTTTCAGAAGTTATATTATGAGTTAAAAGGGAGCTTTAAAAAAGTAGACTACAATATAGCGACGAGCCTGGTTAAACAAAGATGGGCCATGCCAATAAAAAGTACGTATAAGATTAACTTTGGTGCCTCCATTTTTTTATGGCAACTATATAGGTATTAGAATTGTTTGTTGAGATTGGTAAAGGAGGGTGTCTTTATTAAGGATTCATCATATGTGGTCTTTTAAATTAGTGGGAGATAACAAAGTCACAGATCATACTATATGAACTCAGGGGACTTGAGAAATTTAAAGTATGAAAGCACCTCGCAGCCACTCATTGGTGCACTTAAGCATCAATTACATGTTTCTTTGGGGTGTAGATTATTGTTGGAAGTTATTAAATCTCTTTGTAATGTCTAGTCCTACTTTTTTTCCTCGAATTTCTGGACATTGTAATAAGGTTGTACACGTTTTTGTTAGAGAAGCAATTAATATACTTAATAGTGTAGGGTTTATCCAATTTTGACCTCTTAATGAGACAAAATGTTTTGACTTTTTTGTCTGATAGTTTAATATTTATTACCTTAAAAAATAATATAAAAAAAAGATGTATCTTCAAAATTTTTGATTGGATGAGACTTTTCAACTTTTCATTTATCTTTTCTTAATTTTCAGACAATTAATTAAAGTAAATATAAAAAGTTTGAAGAAAAATTCTGAAGTTTGGTTTCAACTTATATTTTGGTTGAGTAATTGGGCTTGTGTCCTAAGCCCATAAGGGGAAATGCTAAAAATTATGCTGGTCCCCAGGCATCTAAATAAGTCAGCCCACGCTTTACCGAAATGGGCTTTCGATATTTTGTTTAGAGGCCCAATATATGATGAAACCCTAACCTATTTTCTATCTTTGCCCAAGTAATATACCGAGAAGAAAAAGAATTATAAATTATATAAATATTTAATTATTTATTTTTCTTCACACAATTTTTTATTAAAGATTTTTTTATTAGCAAGTGAAATTTATTAATTGGTAATATAATTAGTTTGTAGTTGACGATACAAGCTTCTATAAATTAAAGAAAAAAAAAGGTGATGATTTAAATTTAATTTATAAAAAAAAACAAATAGTAAAAGGTTTACCAATGAAACATTATTCAATTGTCTACTTGCTAAAAAGTGAGTGAGGGATAACACAATATTACTTTGTAATAGTCAAAATACAGAACGATGAAAATGTAATTTGCTGATTTTTTTATTGTTTTAATTTATTTTAATCAGTAAAAAATTAGTTTAATCTTTAAATTGTATAGAGTCCAAAATTTTAATTTAATAGAATTAATTTTAAAAATTTTAAAATCTTGAATATGAAAAATGTGGGAAGGAATCAGTAGACTAAAGGGATGAATTAACCCCATCGTCTGTGGATACCATCTCTACGGTTGTCTGGCCGCTGCTCAATTACCATTTTACCCCTCTCAATGTTTTGATTTACAAAATCACTGAAAAGCAGTAGACTGATAATGGAGCCTTCAATCTACGCACCGTGTCTAAACGCAGAGAAAAAGAAGATACCTCTCTCCACAAAAATGAGCAGTGCGAAAAAATAAGATCACCCAAAAAATAATTTCTAAATTATTTAGATCGAAATTAAAATTTAAAATTTAAAATTTAAAATTAGAGCCCTGAAATAAAAATTAAATAGTTTCGAGGTAAAAATGAGGGCTCATATCAAGTGTAAAGAATTGGAAGATCTGTCATTGGGGGAAAAGAAACCAGAAAAACCCTAATCGAAAATGGGGAAACAAGAAGGAACTGTAGATGGAGTAGAAGTTTGGAGACACTAGAACTACCGCCATTGAAGAAGGTAACTAGCATCTTCTGTTTCTTCTCGATCTGTTTCCTTCAATTTCTTTGTTTCCTTCTGCAATTTCGATTCTGGTTTTCCTAGTTGCGTTCGGATCCCCACTCTAGCCCTCTCTCTTTGTAATCATTGCCCAAGAGCTAGAAGAAGAAGAAGAAGAAGAAGAAGAAGAAGAAACTGAGACGGAAAATTTGGAAGATAAACCCTAGCAGCAGCCTATAGGGGAGATTTGTGTTTATGCGGGTATATATAGTGGATGTGGGGTTAGGGTTTTTTTAGTATCAGGTATGGGCTAGGGTTTTGAAGCCCATTGCTCTCTCCCTCTCTCTTGATAAGATAATAATTTCTCTTTGTATTCATTGCTAAAAAGTATTCAGTTTTCATCTTTGTAATCATTTTCTGATTATTTTAATTAATTTTTAATTGCCAAATAGTATCATCAGATGTTAAATAAATGTAAAGCTTATTAATTTCTTTATATATTTGGCAAATATAGTGTATAAAATTGTTAATTACACCCAACCTAATAAGAAAACATCACCCTTGCCAAACTCATTTGCAAATTTATTATATTCATTTTAATAATAGTTAAGACTATATATTGAACTTCGTAGGTATTGAAATCATACATTATAAATTCTATCAATTTAATAAAATTTAAAATATATTATTCTACTTGTACATGAGCTTTAATATGATGCTGATTTTTTGTATTCTAATTGAAGTGTCAAATCACGAATATTTTATAATTTTATCTAAATAATTCTTTGAAAATTAATGTAGAAATATGAATTTTTCTTCTAGAAGGCACCACCATTCAACACTGGATTAGTAAGCCACAGAGTTTCCTTTAACCAATTTCTAATTATTAGCTACATAACCAAGCTATCTACGGTGAATAAAAAATGTCTGACTCTAATTAGGCAGTTGTTATGAGGATTCAAGATTCAGCCAAGAATGTGATAGAATCTTGTACAATAACTCGTAACCTGCATATTATTATGCCTTCTTCCTACACACAATCCAACAGCTAGTCATGTTACATGTTACATGTTAACATGATGTTCCAGGTTAACAAAAATGCAGTTTGATCCCAGAATAAATACCTAGGAAGAGATTCCCAAACATCAGAATTATTGTCAAAGAGAATTCGTGCCCTGAAAGCATCAAGCAGTAGTGTGTTCGAACTACTGCCAATAGGTTTCCTCCATTCCAAGAAGGTCTATTTTGCTCTGTTTAGAAACTGATACTTCATTCCCCTGTAACCAAAATTGAAGTTAGAAAATGCTACAATCCATCTATTTTCTCCCCTTTAATCAAAACATCAAAATTTTATGCATGTTGCTCTTGTCGGATAAGAAAAACTGGATTCACAGGATGACAATAAAAAGATGAGATGCATGATAAATCATTCTCAGTTTTAAGTATTCCTAATGGAGTGTTTGGTTTATTCCTCATCCAATTCCTTTAATAAACACCTTTTATTGGAAAATAAATGCTATTAATAGATAGAAGAAATAGTTACAAGAATAGATGCCCATAAAGGCCCCCCCCTTTAAGTAACGAATGGAAACCAAAGATAAAGAATTATCTTTAAAATAACCAAGTGCCTTATCCAATAATGAAGCCAAAAAGGTTAATCTCTCCCAAAGAAACTGAGGAAAATAATGATCCTTAAAGGATTCTATCATTCCCCTCCAACCATAAAAACAGTAGCCCTACAAAGTGCACCACCCTCCAAAGCATCCTAGCTTCCTTATTCAACCATCCCTTTTACCGAAGAACTTAAAAATTCATGATAGAGGGAAGGGAAACCCACATCAAACCAAAAACTTGCCATCTTACATTGAAATCTCCACTAGTAAGAATTTAATTCCCACCTTGTGAGGGGTGGAAAGTAAACTCTTCCCACCAAAGAATTCAAGTTTTGATGATGATAACTCAAAACAACAAATTATATTATAATTATGCATACCACGATTAATATAAAAACTATTATTAGGAGTTAACTAGTAACTAGATAAGCCTAATGTAATCTAAATGCTTTTTCCTTGTGCTTTCAAATTGAAAAAAACTTGAATTTTAGTGTTTTCTGGCACAATGCAATAGCCTCAAATCTGAACGAAACAAAAAATTTCTCCTGCAAAATAAAATACCTAAACTGCCACGACAAAAAAAGAATGCTAATGCAGCTTCAAGTAATAATACACTCTAATTTATGTATCTGTCATAATCCATATCCATTCGTTCCTCAAATTGAAATGTTGTCTATGAGTTAATAACAGATGTAGAAAATAATGTTAAAAAATAAAACATAATTCTCTAACCTTTAGGACATTCCCCTCTTGCGTTTAACTCTATTCCACCGGTCCAGTAAAAATGTAACTCCTTCCTGTAATGTGGCCTTTCTTCCTTCCTTATAGTTCCACAGTTCGGAGATTATATACCTGCCGCTTGGATTGTATTCATTTATTTCCATTAAAGCTGTAGCAACCGCCTTGTATGCTTCCTCACCCATTTCCTTCCTCAAGTCTTTCAATTTTTCATCTTCTTCATCTATTACTTCCTGAACCTGAAAAAGTGAACTTAATACTGAATGATCATATATTACAGAGAAACAATAACCATGAGTCAGCCAACAGAGTCTTAGAAGGAGGATAATAGAACAACTAAAATACAGTCGCAATTAAGATCAAGTATATGGTAATATTCAGAATTTGTACTTCATCAACTAAAATATAGGATTTCTGTTTATGAGTGCACAAAATCCAATTAACACACACACAACAAAAATCAATTGCAACTACCCCAAAGAGTACTATAATCACTGGCCAACACAGAGCGGCAAAGAACACTTACAGACAGAAAGAGCAGGGCACAGACTGAACTTAAAACATTTTATCACACAAGTACTTTTCTGAGAAGGTTATCAACAAATTACTTGCATGCCATATAGAAAACTATCCAGCAGACAAACTTGCATATACCTAACCAATACATAAAAACCAGCAGATTGTCCCCAAACTAAACCTTGCTAAACATAATAACACATATGCTCAGTGCCAATCCAGGATTCAAGCTGAAGAAGAGGGGAACCGTGCAAAGTAAATATTATTTTAATGTGTTTCTTTGCACTTAAAAACTGCGGAGAGAGAGAGAGAGAGAGAGAGAGAGAGAGAGAATATGTTGATCACATTGAGGCAAGTGGTATAGACTCCTGTCACATCGCGACAAGAGACTGTTTATGCTTGTAGCACCTTGGACCTTCTCTTCACTTGAGTTTCATTACAGTGTGACAGTCACAGACAAAAGGCAACATTAAGAGGGTTACATCATTACAAAATCAAGTTTTCCATCAAATAAAAGGAGAAAGCAATGAGAACAATAGCTAGCAAAGTGAAGCTTAAGATATTTATAAAAAGAGTACCTTCTCTGTCCCTTCCGTTTCACCCTTAATAACCTTGAAAGGATGCCAATCAGGATCTTTAAGATATTCCTCCCATAATGAGCACAGTTCTGATGCTCTTTCCTCTGCTTCTTCCTCATTATATTTCCTCTTCAATGCTATAAGGAACGGTTTGTTATCAAGTTCTCCCATTCTCTTAACACCAATATCAGCATTGCTTGATATTTCTTTCAAGCCCTACAGAGTAAAAACTATCAGGTCTTCACAATCAAGAAAGGGACCATAATACGTTCTCAAAAAAGAAATAAACATAATAGCTCAGTACACCCTCAACAAGGTTTTGGACTCGTATGAAATCATGAAAAATCATATCTCGTCAGTACCTGTAAATGCATTACGTTAAGAGAGAGAACCACAGATCTCTGTCTCTCTTTTTTTCTTGAGAAAAGAAGAAATATATCATCAAAAGGGAGGAAATGAAATACAAACTAAAGGAGGATAAGGCTATCCTCCAGAACGAAAAAAATCAAAGTAACAAAAGAAACAAAATAAAAGGACTACTAACGCATTGATAGCAACCCAATCCTTTTTTAAAGTAGATAAAGAAGTTCCCTTAAAGAAACCAAGGTCTTTAGCCCAAAGGGAAGCCTAGATGCTTCTTTTAACTTTGTAATTGGCTTCTTGATTAAAGTTTCAGAAGGAAGCAGCTAATGACTCATCATATCACCTCACAACTTCTAACTTCACCAAGAAATAATTATTTAACCATGTACAATAAAGTTTTTTGCTTCCCACTTCAAACCTATAGAAAGTCAACTAGTTAGCTTTGTTTTGTATTATCTTCAAGACACTCGAAACTATTGTTGTTGTCTTTAGCAGCACTAATTTGAGACACGATCTGAATTGCGGATGATAAAAAATTCATAACTTCACTGAAGTTGTAAGATTGTGTAAAATGGCAGATGTCCTCTCGGTTATAATGCAGAAGTTAAATGATCAAGTGGACATTTTAAAAGAAGTAAGAAATACTCACATTTATCAATTCTTTACGAGCCTCCTGCAGCTCATCATTGCTCTTCCGCTCTCTCACAATAAGAGTTTGATTCAATGCTTCCACGTCTTCAAGGTCCCCTTCCTTCTCTCTCAACTCTTTAAGAACAGACTCCGTCTTTTTTAAAATTTCTATATCATCATCATCCGCCATGTGCTTCATCACATTCAGTGACCCTCTCAACCGTTCAATTTCCAGTTCCAGTGTTTGCTTTGCATCCAGTTGTTTTTCTAGTTGAATTATTCTATTATGTAATTCCTGTTTTGCCCTCTGAATAAAGTAAAAGCTGTAGTGAATTAGGTTGCTCTTAATTTTTTTAACATGAAGAATTTTGGTCATTTTTTTAAAAACGAGAACAAAAACGAACCTGGTGATCTTCAGCCAGTTTCATTACTTTTTCGTCGGCCTTTTGTTGCTCCAAAGCAGCCAACTGAAGTGAGGTATTTTTAATGGCATTCTGAAAGAACACTAAATTGTGTTGTCAAGTAGACCATGAAGTCTTACCTATTCTGCAATGACAATTACAGTTAAGCACGGATTGCTTTTGAAATCTTTTTGTTATATCTTTCATTTCTCATAATTAAACTGAGAAATATCTTTAGCCCAAGCAGCTCATATAGAATTGATAATGTTTACACATATTTGGCCTTCTATCATATAATTATAGAATGGAAACCCCAACTAACTTCCATTTCATGTCCAGGATGTGATGCTTAATCATACAATTACAAACTAAGAAAATAGCAATACTTCTGCAACTGGATGCTTCCCAAATATCTTTGAGTAATTATCCACATATAGTTAAAGTATCTTCTCAATGATTTCAGACTATGTAAACAAAAGTGAACTCAAAGAACTTCTTTTCCAATCTCTAAATTAGATTAAAAAAGGGGTGCATGGAAATTAGAACTAAAACAAAGGAGTTATAAAAAAAACCTTTTCAAGCTCTTCAGAGAGCTTTTTCCTTTCACTTTCATTATGCGCCTCACGCTTCTCCAACTCCACCCCACGCAACTCAAGTTCTCCCTTCAGAGATCCCAGTTGCAGCTTGAGTTTTTCATGGTCATTAAAAATTCTCTGGAAATGATCCCTTGCACTTAGTTGTATTTTCTTTATCTCTGTGAATATAAACATAACAGAATAATCAATTTCACTATTACTTCATGACATCTAAGTTATAAGTATCAACGAACTATAAGCGAACTATCAGGACTGCTGGGCAGGGAATTGCTAAACATGTAACATAACTTTAGTTTCACACAAGGAACTTTCAGTCAAAACCTGATTAGAGTGCTTCAAAGAAGCTTAAGCTCAATATAATACGCACCTTCATTATAACCTTGAAGAAGCCTATCTTTCTCTTCAATCAGTATATTCAAGGAGCTTGACGTCTCTGTACATCTTTCCTCCATCTCCTTCAAGTGCTTATTCTTGACCTCAATGAGATTTGTTAGATTAGATACAAGCTTGTCCTGTTTTCGTGATTCTTCCTCCATAAGTTCAGAAATGGTCCTAAGGTCTCCGATCTTGCGCAAGTGGTCTCCAACAATATTGCTTGAATTGTAGTCATCAGCACGGGCAACCCATGCATAAAGACCAGATTTTTCGACATTCCTAGCACTCCAATGAACTTTTCCATGACCATCTGCTTCATAAGCCTTCTCAAATGACATGGCATTATGCAATCCCGGCCAATCTTTCTTGAATTCCACAACAGCACATCCTGAATGACCTCGATAGTTCCATAAAGGGTGAACTCTTAAGGGGTTGAACCCTCTCCTAATCAACTCATCCCTCAACTTAGATCCACTTTCGCCTACAGACCGCCCATTCTCCACTTTTCTAGTTGGTATATTGACTACAATACCTGTCCAAGGCCACACAAACTTCTCATCATGATTACACTCACTGAGAGGATCCCCTGAATCCATGGGTTTTGATGAGCTTGCAACATCCACAAGATCTTTTTCCAGGTACTTGACCAAGGCTATGTGATTTGCCTTCTCTTTGGCATTTCTTTTGTCTGAAGTGCTGTTACCCACCCCAGATGCATGCTGAAGGAGTTCCTTATACAGATAATCTCGCTTTTTTTTCTTTGGGCAATAGGGGCAAGTAAAAGTGTCATTTGCGATTTTTACTTGGTGATTTCCGCTCTTCAGTTCTTCATATGATTTTTCCTCATACTCATCCATTTCAGATTCACTAATATCGCTGTCTTCCATTGAGTCATCATCCATTATACTACCCATTTGACTCTCTTATCTTTAAGTTGAAACATCAAAATATATTAACAATGTTCATCCGACTATCTTGTTATGGATAAGAGTAGAAGTAGAGTTTTAATTCAAAATAAATAATAATAGGTCAACTTAGGATAAACATGATAGCAACAAATTCAGGTAACTGCACTAACAAGAAAATGTATGCCCACCAAAGGGGAGATAGAGAACTTTTCTGGTGCTATAAACTGATAAATGCCATATCAAATTGCAGATTGTAAGACTGTATCTAAACCAGGAAATCATCCCACCGATACTAACAAGTGCTTCTCCAACACATTCTGTATGTTGTATACAGTGAAATGTAGAAATCATCACTGCCAGCCATTACCTAGCATTAAGTCCTAAAGCTAGCAAAATGCACAAATTCAAAAATCAATGACTCTCAGGCCTCTCAAAAGCATTAAAAGACTAAATCTACTAAAAAATAGCAACAAGGTTTTACCTGGGCAGTTTAGCCCAATGGTCACTCATATGGCAAACCTTAGAATGCGGGGTTATAATCTTAGAAAGGGCTATGCTCTAAGCCAGAAAAAGGCGGCAACTAATATTTTTCCTTATAGATAAAATTAACCATCCGAACCCTAAAGCAAGAATAATAAATGATAGAAACAACTTACCAAAAATAAAGAAGTAACGCAATTAGATAATTCAAGGGTAAATTCCAGCAAAAAGTTCCAATTCATGTATCAGTGTCTTGGACTAGAATCCAAACTCTCACTGTATCCTCTAACTATGAACAGTTTTCAAATGTCTCGCAGTAGGACCAAGTACTCATTTTTCTGGTAAAACACACAGGAATTGACGCTCACGCATTCCACGTGTTTGGTAAATTACTTTAGCTATGAAATCAATTATTACAATAATTTCAGCTAGAAAATACGCTGGAAATTGCCTCTCACACATTTCACACATTTGTTAATTATCGAAAAAAAAAATAAGGGGAAAGCATGTATCAACAGAGGGCACAGACAACAAAAGCAATTGCTAAAAATAATAATATACAACAATGAAATTCTTCTAAAAGCAATATAAAGAATATAATAAAAGATAATGGAGGTTACAGAAATTTCTACAACAAATGGTAACTTGTTTCCTTCAACAGTTTCAGCTAATCCCTGCATATTGGTTGGCAATTCCACGAAAACATGACAGAACTAAACATTTCCCATTTCTTCACGATTCACCGTCTTTCTAGCCAACCAAACAGGCATAAAAGTTGGTAAAGATAAATTGACACGCACAAATCCAGGGCATAAAATCGAGCCAAAACAGAAAGTCAACTTTAAAAGAAGGAATAAACCATAATCAGACACTTAAATATAACAAATGCACTTCATACAAATTATCCAGACCAACTAAAAAAATCAGAGAAAAAACAAGAGCACTCATGGCCTTGGTTACTAGAAATGTACAGAAAAATTACCTAAAATTTGGAAATCACGCAATATCTACTTCACAAACTGGAGCTCCTTTGGATGATTATTAACTCTTGAGGTACAGATTTAAGAGCTCCAGTTTGTAATTGAGGATCAGTGAAGAAACAGGTTTACTAGGGTTTTGAATCTGGCAGCAAGATGACAAAGTTAAAACCTCTGTGGGTCTCTGTCGATTTCCGATGAGTCGTGACAGTACTTAGACGCGCCATGAAAGAGCGTGTACACAGTTAATGTACACAGGCCGGTGGGGCCAGTCTGCAGGCAGCTCCATTAACGAGTTTTACAGTGGATGAAAATGGGGAATTTGAAGTTTTGAAATATGGAGGTGATGGTGGGTGTGGGGTATCTCGATGGTAAAAGCAAGCACTCATCTTGCATAATCTTCAGCCTTTGCTTTCTGCTCTACCTGGTTCTGGATTCTCGGATTCGGACTGGAGAGACGCATTGTACTGTGGTTGACTGCTGACTGTGTAGTTACAAATTTATAAAATAAAATATATATTTGTTTCTAATCATATTGATTAAATGTTTTTTAAGAACGTAAAATGAATTATTATTATTATTATAAGAGAAAATTAATAATCGATTGCTTATGGTTGTGATTGAAGTTAAAAGGGTCTGATCTACATAATAAATATGATAAGATCACAAAGATATTTCTATAAAATTATGAATAATAGATGAGATGTTTCATATAAGTTGCAATAAATTTTTGGGCAAAAAATTAAGTTACTAAATATATTAAAAATTAAGTTACTATATGTTGTAATAAATATATATATTTTTTATTATTTCCTAAAAAAATATAATTATATTCTATATTTAAGTCCTACTCTCATGACCAATTAATTTACCGTGCTTTAATATGAAAATCACAGTGAGATTCTTTCTTTTGTCAGACTGATAGATTGGACATTGAGTGCACCATGTTCCGTCGTGAACTTTTACCCTACTCTATTGGTTCTCTATGCAATTTTCTTTCGTACGCCCACCTTCATCGAAACGACTTTAACATCTGAGTTTTGGTCGCATTCAAATTCAATAAATAAAATTTAAATTACATTATACATATTAAACATATGAATAAAATCATCAGTTTCTAATTCAATTCAATTCATGTTATGAGTTTTTTATAATTTATTTTTAAACAAGTTAACATATGAATTTATGATTATGCACAAATGTGTAAATTATAATTAAAATTCAAATAATAAATACTAAAAGTTATGAATAAAATAAAATTAACTTATATTTAAATTAAACGTAACATATGTTTGTGCTATAAAAATACTAATTATACTAACAATTGATTTAGATCACACTATTTTATTAGGGTATGACATGATTAAATACTCGTTTTTTAAATTTTATTTTTTAAATAAATTAATTATTAATTTATTATGACAATCCTAATTAATATAACTTCAACATAGCGGCACAATCACAATAATTTATTAAAATAATGTTTAATTTTTAAATCGTGATTTTATCAATACATTTAATAAAATTATAAGATATATATCATCAACAAATTTTAAACTTGTAATATTTAAATAAATATTAAATAATTAATCATTAATCTAATATACTAATGAGATGATAATATTTATTAAATTATAGTTTCGAATCCCTATATTATTTATTAATAAAAAACAAAAAAAATATTTCAAGTAAATTATTTTTTAATCTTAATCTTATTTTAACAAATATGTCTTTATAAATTTTTATTTATTTTTATAATAAATGTCGAGATATATATTACACATATTTTTAAAAAAATTAAAATATTAATCAATAATTTTAATTCATTATGGTTATTTCAATTAATAAAATATAATTATTATAAAATATTTTTTTGTTTAAATATATTATAATTTATTGAGATAGAATTCAATTTAATCATTATAATTTTATTATATTAATAAATTAAATTTTAATTCTGTTAAATTAAATATTATAAATTAATAACTGCAAATTAATGTTTGAATTTCTGACTTTGATGCAGGAAGAAAAAACACTATATTGTTTATATGTTTTATTAAAATTAAATAGAAAAATACCAAACAGCAAAATGAATTATTTGCCTAACCCTATATTAGTTAGTTCAAAATTTATGAATTACGTGGCACGCTAAAAAACTGTGTTCAAAATTTCAACTAGACCATTTATGCTCCGGATTAACTTAACCCCGCAGCCAAACGTAGTTACTGCTCAAATCAGAGTTCGTTATCGAAACGGGGGCCGATCTTCAGTTGCGAAGCGAAAAACTGAGCAAACTCCCGTTAAAGAACAGTTCACCTCCAAAAGCGCAAAGTCCCTTTTTCTTTTCTCTCTCGAACGCAACATGGAATG